CTTCCATTATATTATATAGAAATTTTTTCTTCAATTTAATTTTTCCCCCAGGGAATTAAGCCACCCCCCCCCCCTCCCTTATGGAATAAGGAGTCCATGCAGAAGCCAAATATCCATGCAATTGTATTTTTCCAATTAGAAGAAGATCCCCATCTTTTATAATGCCCCTAAACCCTAATTAGTAGTATTTATACTTGTTCTTCTCATTCCCAAAATACCCTTCTTTAATTTCATGCATCCTCTCTCTCTCTCTACATCACTCTCTCTCTACATCACTCTCTCTCTCTCTCTCTCTCTCTCTCTCTCTCTCTCTAGATCACTCTTTCTCTCTCTCAATATATATGTATATAACTCAGTTTTAAGCCTACAGGCAAAGTTGAATTAGTCTTCTTTGATATTATTATTATGGCAGCAGCAGCAGCTTCTTTCTTCAAATGCATGTTACTTGTGTTACCTTTGTGTTTATTACTTCCTTGTGGGAATTCGGATTTTTTTGGTGAGACGACTGCGTATTTGAATGTTCCGGCGGCGAAATTCGAGAGGGCAGTGGAGTCCACTGCGGCCCAACTCCGGCAGGTTATTTCCACCATTTCCAAATTTTCCGCCGAAACTTCCGGCGGCGATCTCCGCCTGAGCAACGCACTTTCCAACTGCTACGATCTCTTGGATTTCTCCCTCGACCTGTTGAACTCCACTACCCAGCTCGTCACTTCTCGTAATCCAAGCCGTAAATATTCTACATTAAAATCTTAATTAGTTATTTCAATTCTTGATTGACAGTCTCTCATAATTAATTTAATGAGGCTATAAATACCCACACACTGACACACACATGCAGGCAAAGATCGAAGCAGCAACGAAAAATACGGGAGTTTCGAAATGATGAAGAACGTAAAGTGTCCACTAACAGTGAACCCTGAAACTTGCAAAGAAGGGTTTGATGCTATACCAGACAACAACCCTGTCAAGAATTCGATTTTCAGCCAGCTGGACAGTGTTGCCACGTCAGCACAAAAACTCAGTGCAATGGTAAACCCTAACTATCTCACCACCACCCAATCCAAAATCCGCCGCGGTCGAAAACTCATCGGAGATCACGATCACGCGCAATTTCCGGATTGGGTGAAACCCCACGACCGGAAACTCATCCTCGAGGGGGCGGCCGCCAGTATCACCGGTGTGGATGCGGTGGTTGCCGCCGATGGCACGGGGGATTTCACCACCATTATGGCGGCTATTGAGAAGGCGCCGAAGAATAGCACCAGAAGATATGTTATTCATGTTAAGAAAGGAGTGTATAGGGAGTATGTGGATATCAGTAAGCACAAATGGAATATTATGATGTTCGGCGATGGCATCGATGCTACGATTATTTCCGGTAATCGCAGCAAGACCGATGAATTGTCCACTTACAGAAGTGCAACATTTGGTAAGAACTACCGTATACAGTAGAATAGAACCTCGATAAATTAATAACCTCTCACTTAAATAATAGTTTCTTCTAGTCTGACTCGGGTAAAAATCTAGTTCAATTATTTAATATTTCACTAAATTAATTATTAATTTATATAAATATTAGCAAAAACAATCGTTTGGTGTATTTTTTTAGGGCAATTGAGGGAGGGGGATTTGCTAAATATTATTTATAAAATGGGGGTTTTTTTGACAATTAAAGTAAACGTGGGTACCAAAATGCAAGAAGCCCTAAATTCGGAGCCCTAATTTGATGATGCAGGTGTGAAAGGGAGAGGATTCGTAGCCATGGATATGACGTTCGAGAACACGGCGGGGCCAGAAATGCACCAAGCGGTGGCGTTCAGATCCGATTCCGACCAATCGGTGGTGTACAGGTGCGCAATCAGGGGGTATCAGGACGCGCTCTACTCCCACTGCCACCGCCAGTTCTACAAGGAATGCAAAATCTCCGGCACGGTGGACTTCATCTTCGGCCACGGCACCGCCGTCTTCCAGGACTGCCAGATCACCGCCCGAAAAGCTCTCCCCGGCCAGAAGAACACCATCGCCGCCCAGAACCGGGACGATCTCCTCGAACCGTCGGGCTTCTCGTTCCAGTTCTGCCGCATCTCCGCCGAGCCCGGCGCGGGGGGCTCGACTCCGACCTACCTCGGCCGGCCGTGGAAAATTTACTCGACGACGGTGGTTATGCAGTCGTACATCAGCGGCGATATCAGGCCGGAGGGGTGGCTCGAATGGAATGGGGATTTGTTTCTGGATACTTTGTTCTACGGCGAGTATGGTAATTACGGGCCCGGAGCTAATTTATCGGGTCGGGTTAAGTGGCCGGGTTACCACGTGCTTAATGAGTCACAAGCGAGTCAGTTTACTGTGACTCGGTTCATTAATGGGGATGGGTGGTTGCCTTCGACCGGGGTCAATTACACTTCTGGCCTGACATATTAATTAATTATTTAATAATTTAATATTGATGAATTTTGTATGGGATTTTATTTTATGGGGAATGTGTAATTTTTTTAATATTTAATCATTATTATTGATAGTAATTAAATAAAAAGAGCATACAATTATTTAATTAAAGGGAACTTCTAATTAAAGGTTGAGTTAAAGTATACACACAAAATATATTTGTATGTATTTATTATATAATATGGTAATTAAAGTAATGAATAGAGAGTGCTTAGTGAAGAAGGAATTAGCTAGGGACCCCAAAGAAATTCTGAAACCTGTAAAGATATGCTTACAACGGTGTGTTAGGCTGGCAAGCACTGCTCCTTTTCATGCATGCAGGCTCTCTCTCTCTCTCTACCTATATATATATATACATACATGTATGTATATATATATATATATATATATATCTCACGTTCTAACCAGCTGCATGCAACTAGGTTAAGTAACTAGTCTTTATGGCAGCTAATTCTTTCTTGAAATGTCTGTTACTTCTGTGCTTCGTTAGTGGCGGCTGGGCTTCGGATTTTGGCGAGTCGGCGTGCACTTTGAAAGTTCCGGCGGCGAAATTTGAGGCGGCGGTGAGGTCGACGGCCGCCCAACTCCGGGAAGTAATCACCACCGTTTCGAAATTCGCCGATGCCGCCTCCGGCGATTTCCGGTTAAGCACCGCACTTTCCGACTGCCATGATCTCATGGATTTTTCACTCGACTTATTGAACTCCACTATGCTTACTACTAATTCTCAGAATCCAAATGGTACAATATATTCTAAACTAAAATTTTATTTTGGCAATATATATTCTTTGTATTAAATTTATGGAAATTAATTAATTAATTAATTAGTTTATAATTAATAATTCATGCATGCAGGTAATTATGGGAGTGCTGATATGAAGATAATGGTGTGTGGATTACTAGTGAATCCGCGCACGTGCAGAGAAGGCTTCGACGGTATAGTAACAAAAAACACGACCCTCGTCAAAAAATCGATTTTCACCGGCCTAGACAAAGTTGTCTCGTCGGCACATAAACTTATTGCCATGGTAAACCCTAATAGTCCACCCACCCCATCTAAAAAGAGTGGTCGAAAACTCATCGGAGATAGTGAAAAGTTTCCGGATTGGGTGAAATCCGATGACCGGAAACTTCTCCAGGCGGCGGTCGGCAATACCACCAATGCGGACGCGGTGGTTGCGGCCGATGGCACGGGGGATTTCACCACGGTTAAGGAGGCTATTGAGGCGGCACCGGACCACAGCAATAAAAGATATGTTATTCATATTAAGAAAGGTGTGTATAAGGAGTATGTGGAGATCAATAAGAAGAAATGGAATATTATGATAATCGGAGATGGCATCGATTCTACGGTTATTTCGGGTAGTCACAACAAGGTTGATGGATGGACCACTTATCGCTCTGCGACGTTTGGTAAGAATTACCGGCTTTATTATCTAATTAAATTGGATTTCGTTGTTATTGAAATTGCGTGAAACTGTCGCATAGTGGTAGAAATTGGAACGAATTTGCAAAATATTCCGTCGATTTTGATCTGAAAATTTCTAATTTTTGGAATAATATTTTTGAAATCCAAAAGTTCCTATTGCAACTTTCCATCTTTTTAACGGAACCGGAATACATATAGTAGATTTCGAATTCCGAATTCCGATCGAATTTTAATTTCTGAAAAAATAGGGTTTTTTATTTCGAAAATAGGTAATTAAGAAAATAGAAATTCTGAATTCCGCCAATTTCATTTCTAAATTTTTTGATTCTTGGACAATTTTTTTTTCTTCATTTTAATTTCGGAAGTTCCTATTTCCGATTTCCCGAATATTTTTGTAACGGAATTGGAATTAGTTCAATTTCGAAAAAAAATAGAATTTTTCTGAAAGTACTGATTCCGATTTCCACCTCGAATGATCATATAACTAAATGAAAAAAATGCAGGTGTTAAAGGGAAAGGATTCATAGCGCGTGACATCACATTCGAGAACACGGCGGGGCCCACAAAGATCCAAGCCGTCGCATTCCGATCAGATTCCGACCAATCCGTGGTGTACCGGTGCGCCATCAGAGGCTACCAGGACACACTCTACTCCCACTGCATGCGCCAGTTCTACAGAGAGTGCAGAATCTCCGGCACGGTGGACTTCATCTGCGGCCACGGCACCGCCGTCTTCCAGAACTGCCAGATCACCGCCCGAAAAGCACTCCCCGGCCAGAAGAACACCATCACGGCTCAGAGCCGGGAGTACATTCTCGATCCGTCCGGGTTTTCCATCCAGTTCTGCAACATCTCGGCCGAGCCGGACTCGGTCGGTTCGACTCAGACCTACCTCGGCCGGCCGTGGAAAAGGTATTCCCGGACGGTTGTTATGCAGTCGTACATTAGCGGCGCCGTCAGGCCGGAGGGGTGGCTCGAGTGGAATGGGAGTTTGTATCTGGATAGTTTGTTCTACGGGGAGTATAATAACTACGGGCCCGGATCTGGGTTGACGGGTCGGGTTAAGTGGCCCGGTTATCACGTGCTTAATGACTCGGCTCAAGCGTATGGCTTTACTGTGGCTCGGCTGATTTCTGGGAACGCGTGGTTGCCTTCCACTGGGGTCACGTATACGGCTGGTTTGGCCAATTGAGAGTTTATTATTTTTAATAAATAATCATTTCTTTTAATTTGTGTGACAAATTGTGTATTATTTCATCTTTGCTTATTTACTTTTGATTTTGATTTTGATTTTTTTATTTTTCCAAATTGGAATTGCAACTTGCAAGAAGGGTCGGTTCTGATGGGAAGCGAAGTAGGGCCCCTTGATTTTTACGAAAATTTAGTGCTCGCAAATATATTTTGAAATTTCTTTTATATATTGAATTATTTTATATTCATACATCTCAAAAACATTTCGATGGACTGTCGTGGAACCTCTTTAATCATTTATTCCATTTGTTTTTTTATCAAATATTATTTATATTCTATTATTTTTGCAGTTTCATCCTTTGAATACATTTTTGAATCCGTCGCTAGATTGACAGGCTCCTGAATTCTCAGGAACGCGACTGCTTGCAAGATATTTCACAAGATGCATTTTGACCGAAAACTCGTATTGACTTAATTGGGGAAGAAAAGGAAGACATCAATTCCACGCGGTTATCTTTTTTGTTCCTATTGAATTGAAAACTTCTCAACTCGTAAATGGACCTAAAATTTATTTTCCAAAAAATATCGATTTGGATTCATTTGCAACCTCTTATTTTTCTTAGCAACATGGCCTTTTTGGCTTTTTCTATTTATCGAAGCAGCTAATTTTGAACTTTTAATATTTATTTTTTTGGAGGGATATATATATATATATATATATATATATATATATATATATATATATATATATATATATATATATATTGTTGATTTAGACATTGAACTACAACTTTGACTTCATAGGTTGCGTCCAAGTCACCTTAATATCGTTCGACATCAGTCGGCGGGTTCGTTATAGAAACGGTTCTGAAAGGGTGCGCGCGGTTCAACCAGAACCTTCCAAGTTTTGATAGTTTGAGCGAAATTAGTAATTGAGGATCGATGCTCTGATGTATTTTCATGTTAGTGTAATACTCCACCCGTTCCTAATTAATTGTCGTATTTCAGCATTCCACAATTATTAAGAACGTCGGTAAGTGTGTTTTGATCTTAAAAAAAAACATATTAAAAAAACTAAAATAACCCTACTAATTGTTTAAGTATATGAAATAAAAACTAATGCAATATATTTTCAAGTGTAAGATGGAATAATGAGCCGACAATAATATTGGACAAACAGACAAAAGGAAAAAAAGCAGCAGATAGCCCATGGTCTTTTTTATGAAATATAATTGGCAGTTTATGTAGGGAATTATCTCTTGGTCCAAAATTCACATGGCCCCAAATCCAAATTACACATAATAAATCATTATAAATTATTATCATCATCTTCCAAATTTTATTTGACAGGCATCTCTCTTTCTCGTGAATTGTTAATTAGTAATAATAAATAAATAAAAAAGTAGTAATTTAAAGATTTGTCACTATTGCACCGCTTGAATTGCTTTTTCCAAAGTATTGTGCATGATAATTGATACAGAAACCCATGCACCATAATATTAATTTAATTTCCAACACATACAGACTAACATGCATGCCATCTCTCTCTATATATATATATCACGGATCTCTTGCACTATTTCTTCACACTAATATATGAATATAAATATATAATCCAAGAAGAGAGAGAGAGAGAGAGAGAGAGAGAGAGAGTTCTAGAGAGAGAGAGAGAGAGAGAGATGAAGTTGACAATAAATGGTTGAGTGCACTTATCTCAACAACACTTGAAAGAATTAATGTGACAGTCTTTTCAGCAGTTTCTTTCTTCTGCTGGTTTATATATAAAATTATTAATCAAAACTTACTTATAAAAAGTTAGTTTTAATTTCTTGAGTAAAATTCCATTGTTTCAATGTCAATGGCGTTTTCCCCTTTTATGAAATCTCTCCTTATTCTCTCTTCACTTTTCCTCTCAGCACTATCTTCTTCTTCTTCTTCTTCTTCCTCACAGCTTATAAATACTTCTTCAGTAGAATCAATAATCTGCAAATCAACACCTTATCCAGATGCATGTTTTGATTCTCTCAAGCTTTCTCTCTCTATCAACATCTCTCCAACCATCATCACTCTCATCCTCCAATCTCTCAGGACCGCCATCTCCGAAGGCCTCAAGCTCACCTATCTCTTTTCCGGCGCCGCCGCCGGACCTAATCTCGTCGAGAAACAGAGGGGCACCGTTCAGGATTGTGTCGAACTCCACCAAATCACACTCAATGCCCTACAAAATTCCGTCGCCCGAATCAGCACTTCCGATCCCCAAAAATTGGCCGATGCTAGGGCTTTTCTCAGCGCCGCCCTCACCAACAAAATCACCTGCTTGGAGGGGCTGAGCTCCGCCTCCGGTCCGATTAAATCGTCCCTGGTCAACTCACTGGCCATTACTTACACGCACGTGACCAATTCGCTGTCGATTCTGTCCAAGCCCGGCGGCTCGCCCAGAGGCAGCGGCGGAGGAAACAACAGGAGGCGGCTGCTAGGTTATCCGCGGTGGCTGTCGAGGAAGGCGCGGCGGGTGCTGCAGAGCTCCGGCGACGAGTACGATCCGAGCGAGGTGCTGACGGTGGCTGCCGACGGCACCGGTAACTTCACGACTGTTTCCGATGCGATCAATTTCGCGCCGAACAACAGCTTCGACAGAGTGATTATATACGTGAGAGAAGGGGTTTATCTGGAAAATGTGGAGATTCCGATCTGGAAGACGAACATTGTGCTGCTCGGAGATGGAAGTGACGTCACTGTGATTACCGGCAGCAGAAGCGTCGCCGATGGCTGGACTACTTTCCGATCCGCCACCGTTGGTAAGAATATTTGCACGAAATTCTCTTCTCTTTCATTTCCGTCCAACCGTTTACGCATTTGTATTTCTAATAATAACAAATTTGCCACTAAACTTGAAATTTGAATGCATTTTAAATTTACGAAATTACCCTTGCATAGCATAGACTGGGTATATTACAACAACCTCCCTAAGGTAAAATGTAATTACGAAAAAACTCCTTTGTTTTGATAACTTACATGCAACCCCTATAGTTTGTAAATATCTTACATCCAACCCCTACAAAAGGGTGTTAATGTAAGAAATTTATAAATTGAAAGGGGTGGATGTAATTATGGAAAAATGAGGGGTTTTATCGTTAACATAACTTACCTTAGACGGGGCTGTTGTAATATACCCTAGGTTTTATAATTACAAAATGGTGCAAATTTAGACCGGATAGTTTGTTTTAATATGAAAATCGGATGTCGACACGTGGATAGTTTAAATAAAAATATTATTACGATTCTAATAATTAGAAGAAAAAAAAAAGAAAAAGAAAACCTCAGCATAACCCCTTCTAACCCTAATTACAGCGTGATCCTTCTAACCCTAATTACAGCGTGATTTATTTTATAAGAGTTTAGACTTAAGAGTGCCACGTGTCAAAAAATTAGTGGAATTGGATTTATATTAAATATTGGCTGATCCGCTACAGAATTTAATCTCATTAAGAAATTTCAAATATATGACAAATATAGTGTTATCCAATTCACTCAACCTTATGATCTCTATAAATCAACAATCACAGCCGTCTCGGGCGAGGGATTCCTAGCACGTGACCTGAAATTCGAGAACACGGCGGGGCCGGAGAAGCACCAAGCCGTAGCCCTCCGCATCAACGCCGACTTCGCCGCCGTGTACAGGTGCGCCGTCACCGGCTACCAGGACACACTCTACGTCCACTCCTTCCGCCAGTTCTACAGAGAGTGCGACATCTATGGCACCATCGACTACATCTTCGGCAATGCCGCCGCAGTCTTCCAGGGCTGCAACATCATCTCCAGAATGCCCCTACACGGCCAGTCCACTGTCGTCACCGCCCAATCGCGCAACTCCCCCGACGAGGACACCGGAATCTCGATGCAGAACTGCACGATTCTCGCCACGGAAGAGCTCTACTCCAACTCGTCTACGGTTCGGAGCTACTTGGGGAGGCCGTGGAGGAATTACTCCAGGACTGTGTATCTGGAGTCATACATCGACGATTTTATCTCGCCGGAGGGGTGGAGCAATTGGGTCGGGGATCAGGGTCTGGACACGCTCTACTACGGTGAGTACGAGAACTACGGGCCGGGTTCGGGTACTGAGAAACGGGTCAGTTGGCCCGGTTATCATGTGATGGACTATTACGATGCGTCGAATTTCACGGTTTCGCAGTTTATTACCGGGCAGGAATGGCTCGATTCTACTTCGTTTCCTTACGATGATGGCGTCTGAAGTTTTCGGAGATTCCCATGATGTTGGATGATAGATTTGTAGATAAAAATCCTATTATTATTATTATTAAGGGCTGAGAATTTTACAACACTTCTAAGGAGCCGGCCTATATATATATATATATATATATATATATATATATATATATGTGTGTGTGTGTGTGTGTGTGTGTGTGTATTCTGCAACTCTTTCAATTGTATTTTGATGCTTGTTTTGCATGCAACAAAGACAGTCATTAATAGAGTAAGGCATAACCTGAAAATTCCACAATGTTTATTGTTTCATTACAGCTCTTCATTGTTTCCTCTTATTCTTACAACCTTGAAACCATCGATCCTTCTTGACATTTGTCAGGAAATAAATAAATAAATAATTATAAAGGTACATAGTCATTAAAATCACTGTCAATTATCATATCCTCAATTTTCCACAACCCTAAGTTTTTTCTCCTTCCGAACAATGCTAAATTAAATTTGCAGTGATTAAATTCAAGAGCAGAGGAAGAAAATGGATTCTTCTGATCACGCCATCGATCTCAAGAACCTCAAGCTCGAAGGATTAAACCATCATCAAGAAGTGAGCATTACGAAAACTTCCGAATCATTCGATATTTTCGAGAGCATTAAAAACGAAGAATTCGAAGAGGAAGTGTACCGCAAACAGACCCGTAAGCGCCTCGTCATCATTTCCGTTTCCTCCATTTTATTAGTGCTCCTAATACTGGGTGCAATTATCGGAATTCTTATTCCAATCCACGAAAAAAACAACCCCGTGAATGAAAAATACGATCCCATGATCAAAACGATATGCAACTCCACTCTTTATAAAGACTCGTGCTACTCCAGCATATACTCTTTAAAGACTTCCTCGAGCAACAAAAATCCACCCCCCGATTCCGACACTCCGAAGTCGGTTTTCATGCTATCCCTACAGGTTAATTAATTAGCAATATTTTTTTTCTTTTCTAGATTCAAATCATGTGACAAATGAAAACGGTACGCAGATAGACATATATAATTAATACGACTTTCTGACTTTGGTTTCTAATGATGACTGGTGCTGGTTCTGTAGGTAACATTCAACGAGCTAGTGAGGGTAAAATCGTCAATCTTGAATAGGCTCATTTATTTCGCAATAAACGACTCCATCACTCATAATGCATTGAAAGTGTGTGACCACGTGATCAAAGACGCAATTAGTCAAGTCAACATGTCGATGTCTTCTTTGCAGAGCATTGAGAGATTTTCAGACAATTCGGTGATTAGTGATCTCATGACATGCCTAAGTACCGCAATCACCGACCAAACGACGTGTTTGGACGGACTAACAGAGTACAAAGAGAATATTCCTCCGTCGATCCTTGAAGAAACAAGGGCATTAATGGAAAATGCCACGGTTTTTACTAGCAACAGCTTGGCAATCATTTCAAACATGTTCAAAATCGTACGAGGTTTTCAGATCTCGGTTAATGATCATAGGAGATTGCTCCGAGTGGAGGAAGTGCGTCTGAGACCTAATCTGACGGTGGCAAAAGATGGCAGTGGGGATTATCGGACTATAACCGAGGCTGTGAAGGCAATGCCTAGAAGAAGTGAAAATAGATTCTTTATTTATGTGAAAAAGGGTAAATACGAAGAAAACGTGTTTGTCGATTCCGATTCTTGGAATCTGATGATATATGGAGATGGAATGAAGAAGACGATAGTTTCGAGCAGCTTGAACTATATGGATGGAGTGGCCACGTTCAATAGCGGCACCTTCAGTAAGTTACCTATTTAAATTCCTATAGTTTCTTTGTTTCGTCTATTTGTTTCATTAATGTCACTTGGGGTGATAATCGAACTCGAATCATCCTACGACTTAAGCACTTTCGGGAAGAAAAAAAAAATGAAAAATTGGATTTGAAATTTCGGAAATCTTATCTTGGAAACCAAACAGATCTGATATATAACAAATCTCTAAACGAAATTGCGCAGTAACCGAAGGGAGAGGCTTCATCGCGAGAGATATGGGATTCAAGAACAAGGCGGGCCCCGCCAAACTCCAAGCGGTAGCTCTCCGGTCTTCATCCGACCGCACAATTTTCCACCGATGCCACTTCGACGGCTACCAAGACACACTCTACACGCACTCCAACCGCCAGTACTATCGCGACTGCACAATCACCGGTACAATAGATTTCATCTTCGGAAACGCAGCCGCAGTTTTCCAGAACTGCACAATTCAGCCACGTCAGCCCGGGCCGGGCCAGTACAACACCATCACAGCACAAAGCAAATCCGACCCGAATCAGAAAACGGGCTTCTCGATCCAACGGTGTAGGATAAGCCCGTTTGGCAATCTAACTGCCGCAACTTTCCTGGGCAGGCCCTGGAATAATCACTCGACCGTTGTTGTAATGGAAACGGATGTTCAGGGGATTATAGACCCTGCAGGGTGGATTAAGTGGGCCCCGGATAGTGAAGTGCCGGATACAATATTTTACGCCGAGTATAATAATACCGGGCCTGGTTCGGTTATCAGCCGGCGCGTGAAGTGGCCTGGATATAGGCCTGATATTACAGAAGAGGAGGCTGAAAAGTTCCATGTAGATCCTTTTATCCAGGGGTATAAATGGATAATCGAAGCAGGTATAGAATATGATTCACGTTTATGAGATTTGCTTCATCACTCAAATTTTTAAATATTCTTTTTCTTTTAGTTCCACTTGTACCATGATTTGCAGCCTCGAGTAATTACATTAAAAGGCAATGTAGAAATAGAACATTTAATCTGAGTTATAAATTGTGACCATGTCAATATTTAAAGGTGACCATGGATTATCTTAATCAATTAAAAAAGAATTGAATTTGACCAATAAAATTTGCTATTAGTACCTAGTTTCTTGACCATGCCATCAATATATTTGGTAGTTTAACTAACCTGTAACACAAGTACACAACGCAGCCCTAATATAATTAATTAAAAATTCATTCTTTAACAAAGATAATTAATACGTCTTCACATTATTACCATAATAAATACTACATTTATACATGAGTACTATAGAAAGTGTGTGTACAGTGTCTCCTATTCCACTTTATATTTCACATGCATAACATATAACAAAAAATACTTGGGTACATCTTTTTTAGATACATTTATCAACAAAGAATATATAGATCACATATATTTTATGTGATTTATCAACAAAGAATGTATAAATTACACATGGTTAGCCTGGTATAGTTTACATCTCTCGTATGATTTGCAAGCTATTATACGAGACTGCAGATTTACCAAGTTCGCCTATATAATTAGTTAGGGATTCCTTCATTAGGGGAAAAAAATTGACACCTGACAATTGAGGTAACTATATATGTCAACGAACACACCCCCAAAGAAATAAATAAATAAATAAACCATACCACATAGAGACTTTTACACTTAGGGGCATGCACACGTCGTACAATAGTTAAAGAAACACAGTTGGGCTGCCCTCTTATATTATTTGTTGTTGTAAGAGTTCAATGCATAAAATGAATAATTAATTTTATTTTTTAATTTTAATTATTACCAAACATGAGAAATAAAAATACTTTGTAACCAATTAATGTTAAGATAATCTTGTTAAACGGCAAATAAATGGCACAAGAGAGCAATGTTGCTCAAAGAAGGGCAATCAGTGTAACAATTAGGTATGAAGATAAGAAGTACCACTATTCAATATAATTTAGGCCTCGTTTGGTTGGGGAGATTATTCATTGTTAACTAACTAATTTGACTTTGTTTGATGTTTAGTATCTCAATAATTTGTCGGCTCGACTGGCAAATATTTTGTTATCATAATTTATCTTGCCTTCCAGACATTGTTTCTATTAGATGTTCCAAGATCCAAGAATATAACAGGGTTTCATTAGATTATTTAATTTTATCTTGACCAATCTTATATCGGCAACTAACGAGGCCTTAAACAATGGATTAGCGTAATAAATTAAAGATTAATACAGCGAAGTAATTAGCTCTAGGTCCAGGTTTTGGTCACCAACAACTAAGCAAGGACAAAAGGCATAGCCACACACACACATATATATATATATATATATATATATATATATATATATATATATATACGTGTTATTACTTTTATACAAGATCAAGAAATTGACCCCCAAACTAACTCTTCAAAAAAGTTAAATAATCCGTTAAATAATAAATAAATGCCCCTATATATATACCTAACTATCTATAAGCATCAATTACACCAATTTCATCAACTACTTATAAATAATTTCTTTGACCAGCCCAAAAGAATAAAATTAATTTTTTGTAACCCTAATGGGAACACCAAAATACATTGTTCTTTGGGTATTATTAGCAATATCAACATCTAATTTCTCCACAATTTGCTTGGCAAAAAAGGGTAGTAGTACTAATTTTGAAGAGAATGTGAGAACTCAATGTGGTTTCACAAGATATCCAACGTTGTGCGTCCAAACCCTAACAGGGTCGGGCTCACTTAATCCAAACGTTGATTTCTTGTCTGTTCTTATTAACAAGACTATGTTCGAAACGAAAATCCCTAGTTTTAGTTCCAATTTTCAGATACTCAGCTCCCATTTCGTTTCTCCTCAAGCTCAACAAGCCCGTTTCGCCATGGGTACGTTTACGTAACCGATTTAATTTTTCTAATGATCGTGTCTAATTTTGTAATTCGTCTATATATATTTTGACAATTTTATTTTTGTATTAGATTATTGCGACGAATTGATGAGCATGTCGATGAAAAGACTAAACCAGGCAATGGAAGCGCTACAAAAGCCGTCGCCGGAAAAGCAGAAGGTGGATATTCAGACGTACCTGAGCGCCGTTTTGACTTTCCAGCAAACGTGCAAAGATTCCGTTGAGGATCATATCACTTCAAATGTTTATATGAGTGAAATGTATAAGAAGATGGACCGTCTTTCTGAACTGTGCAGCAACACTTTGGCCCTGGCGAATAGAATCACTGGGAATATTCCGGCGATTCGCCGGAATCTTCTTACAGGGGACGGTTATAATTTCCCGGGTTGGTTGTCGGCCGGCGACAGAAAATTGCTTCAGAGTACGAAAATAAAAGCGAATGCTGTTGTTGCGAAAGATGGGAGCGGCGACTACAAGACGGTGACGGAGGCGATACAGGCGGCGAGTGGTGGCAGATTCGTAATATATGTGAAATCGGGGACTTATAATGAGAAGATTAACACTAATAAGGATGGGATTACCTTAATCGGCGACGGAAAATACTCCACTGTTATCACTGCCAGTAGTAGTGTTGGCAAGGGCTCTACACTTCGAGGCTCTGCAACTTTTAGTACGATATTTTGTTAAATTATAAATTTTATTTTTGATATATATATATATATATATATATATATATATATATATATATATATATATATATTATTAAGTCGGAAAATTAACTGGATCGAATTATAATAATATATATAATTTCATCAGCAATTACCGGCGATGGCTTCATAGCTCGGGACATTGGATTTCAGAATACGGCGGGGCCGCAGGCGGAGCAGGCGGTGGCGCTGACCGTCGTCTCCGACCATTCAGTGCTGTACAGGTGCAGCGTCGCGGGATACCAGGACACGCTCTACGCACTCTCCTTCCGCCAATTCTACCGCGAGTGCGACATATACGGCACCGTCGATTTCATTTTCGGCAACGCCGCCGCCGTGTTCCAGAGCTGCAACATTGTCCTCCGCCGCCCCCGCAGCGGCGGCGCCTACAACGTGATCCTGGCCAACGGCCGCTCAGATCCGGGACAGAACACCGGATTCTCCGTCCAGAACTGTAAGATCTCAATCGGATCGGATTTCTCCGCCGTGAAAAACTCGTACAAATCGTACCTAGGGCGGCCGTGGAAGCAGTATTCCAGAGCGGTGGTGATGCAGTCGAATATCGACGGTGCGATTTCGCCGCGGGGGTGGGTTGAGTGGCCTGGCGCCGCCGGATCTACTTACAAAACGCTGTATTTTGCCGAATACGAGAATATGGGCGCCGGCGGCGGAAATTCCGGCAGGGTGAACTGGCCGGGATTTCGTGTGATTATGACGGCGGAGGCTGAGAAATTCACTGTTGGAAACTTCATTGGTGGGAATTCGTGGTTGCCTTCCACAGGCGTAACGTTCACTTCCGGCCTCTAAGGATTTTATTATTAATTCGAAACGATTTTTTCGCAATTTAAAGCTAAAAAAAATTGTGATTAATTTAATTTACACGAATTTTTATGAGCATTTTAATTTAAATATTCGAAAGGAATTATATTCAATCTTATTGTAAATATTAATGATGTTTAATTTGAGTAAGTTCATAAGCTCTTCAAAGATATTTAATTTTTTTTTTAAATCATAATCTCCCTAAATAATTAGATGTTACAATGTTATATCACTATTTTTATATAAAAAGATGTCATTTCAGCATTAACAATCTCTTTTAGTTTGATGATTTCAATTATATCGTATATTAGCTTTACTGAAGGTCAAAATGGATGCAGGATGAAGAACCTATAGAAGAAGAAGAACAACAACAACAACAACAATTAACCAAAAGAAAGAAAAATTTACATGTACAAGCCTGAAAGTTTGTGCCCATCATTATGGGGAAACCCGATCCTGCAAGTTTTCTTCACACGAGCCACTCGGAGGAATCGTCGACGAAGAAGGCCATTGATCTGGAACCATTAGAAAATAAGCAGACATTGCTTTCCTAAACCTTTTCTTGTATTGTACCGGAGAGATTACTGTGGGTGACGCATTTTTGGGCCCACCTAAAATACCCGATGCCTTCACCCAAGTCTCGAGATGCTTGTCCCACGTATACTGCCTCATAAAATCAATAATCCCCATCACCAGCTCATGTTTTTCTTCATCCACGCCAACAAGCAACGAGTAATCCATTACATCTATTGACTGTCAAAAAATGTCCATGAAAAAAAAACAATTTCAGTTTATATTATGATCAAAAAAGATCTTGAAATGGAAAAAAAGAACTGTATAAAGTTCCATTCGAAGCTTACTGCAAGAAATGAAGTGTCGTTCCACACGGCTCTCTCTAAGAGACGTTTTGCCTTAGTTCCCAAGAAAATAGGAGAAGTTGGCATAGCCTCTATCAGATTCTGATCGAGCAGAACTTTATTACTTCCACTTGAATCTGGATTGTACCGTGATCTAGAAGACCCTTTGAGGTCGTATAGTCGAGTTATATTTCGCCTGAATAGAAGATTCTCCATTACCAACACATCCATTTTCGTTTCTTTTCCTCCTTTGAGATGCTTCGATGTCACCTTCATTGCCAAACCACCACCAAAAGATGAGCCAACAAACAGATATATATCTATAACACAATAATTCCATATTGTAAGTTGACAAGAACTAATACCTGATAAATGCCGAAGATCTTTGCAAGGCAAGTGGGACATCCACTATTTATCGAATCGGTTAGGTACTTGAAATACGATGGTGCAAACTTAATAAACGACTCTAGCTCAGTCTTTGTAACTTGTTTGATTATAAATCTGTCATCTAATGTTTTGGCAAAATAGACGTTGCTTTTACCACCCTGTGCACCCCACTTTTTACAGCGACCAAGAGAGCGGATGTAATCCAACTCACTCACACAGCAGTTTCTTCTCAATGCCTCAAACTGCTTTGAACAATAACAAGTCACGGTGTACTTCACCTTCCCTAAAGGATCGTCATCTGAGAAAGTTACTCTGGCATGCAAAGCATTTTGAATTAGAATAGGGTCCAAACCAGAGAAACTCCGAGAGCCAGATGACAAGATGCTCTCATCATCAGAAGCAAGACTCCTTAGGGATTCAGTGGGCGAGTCTTCAAAAGTATGAAGAGAAAGTAAATTAAACGAGTCCAATATTGAGAACGAAGGTGAGGAAATCAAAGAATATTCTTTCTGGCTTTCAGGTTCCTCTGACATGATTTTTTGATAATATGGCGAGGCCAGTGTATATGCAATGATGCTTGTAGCCTGATCTTCGTAAATTGGCACAATAGTGTTGCAGGAAGACATAGGTAGAAGTAGACGAGCACCACCCTGATGTAACAGTTCTCTCAATGATGATATATAAAAAGGATTGTGCTCGTTAATCTTGCGAAGCTTCTGTGCGTTTGTTGAATAGTTCTTGTTGAATGACCGATACAAAGTTGAAAAGGGAATCCTCAGCCAGCTACTTGGATTTTCCATATCGTTAGGCCCTCTTGCAGGCAATGGAGAGCGTAAAGGGTAAGAATCTTTAGCCACAAATCTATCGTTTACAGATTCTGCCGCTGTTGAATTAATGCCAGAAGAAGACTCAGTGGGCCTGTCTTTAGAAGCTTCGGTTCCTGGCTCGTGATTCCCTGTCCATGCAGCATCTAAATTATCAGGTACATTTTCCATCACGTGGAACTGCCCCTCTGATTGAACCCTTCGCACCGTTTTCCCGAATTCAGGAATGTCGGCTTGGTTACTCAAATCAGTGCCAGAAGAATGATGATGGCTGGTACCTTGTTTACTGCTCAAGGTCCGATTAATGTCTGCTCCTTTATGGATTCCAATAGGAGAGTTGATCGGACTAGGTTCTACATCAGTTAGGAGAGTACTATTGTCAGGCATCATATTTACAAGAGAAGGATTCCAGCTACTGAACCCTCTCCCAGATCTGGAAACGATATCCATCTCAGCACGTTTCTCCTTAGAGCTGATAGGCTTCTCCTTCAATATTACACTGCTCGATCTTAGAATATTAGATCCTGAAACATGGATGAAGCGCTGGTCCCAGACGTAAGAATGAAAGATTAACTGCCTTTTTAGTCTGTTGATCTCAAGAATATCAATCTCTGGCTGGCCAGATTTTACTTTATCTTTCGAAATGCACTGCAATGATTCCTGAAAAAAAAAAAAGGAAAAAGAAATTTTAATTTTTGTAGCAGTAACGATGCAATCGACATTTCGGAAGGTAGTTATCATTTATCTAATGTATGTTGCACATAAAGAAACAGTCTGAATTGAGAGAAGAGGAAAACTAATCTTAAGAAAAAATCACCTCAAATTCCTTTTTCTCCTTCTGAAGCATCAGCTCCAGTTCTGCAATCTGTTGAGAAGATTCCATTGCTTTCGTCTTGTCTGAAATCTGATGAAGTACTTCCAACGCCTCATTGAAAAGGAGATCCGCTCTGCTGCAGACCTACAGTTATATTGAACCAAGCCCATGAGATTCGTAAAAACAGAATTCAGGAGAAGAATAAGCAGGTTGTCTGTACAGTATTACCTCGTCATATTCTTTCTGCATCCATTCCTCTTTGTAATAGTTAAATTCAAGCTTTAGGGGTGGAAGATACACAGAATTAACAATGATTGGAGCATACCGGAAACATGCAACCATCCTCCCAAAGCTGCACATAACGCACGCACATAACCATGTAAGAGAAGGTAAAACAAACTAACAGCACCATTTGAATCTTGGAAGATAGCTGTGGCACAAGAAATGAAGTATAAGCTATGACTTCAAATTGGAACTAAAGAGTATACATGATATTCTAATTACATTTGAGACATAGTGATTATCATAAAGACCCCCCCCCCCCCCCCCCCCCCCCCCCCCCGAACACACACACACAAAAACAAAAGAGCATACCCATAAAATCTAAGGCAATCTCTATGAAGGGAATGACCACAGCTGGCAACCCTGCTTGCAGCAGCATGGTTTGAAAAGCTGAGTTCCAGAAATTTTCCAAAAGATAAACCCCAGGCAGCATCTGACATCACAACTCTTTTTGTGGCAGGAGGAAAACCATTCGTCCTTCGACATCGTAAGCATCGATGCCACATCCAAATTTTTCCTTCCTTCTCACCTGGCAAAAGGAACTCTTCAAGCTTTTTTACAGAAATCGTGAGGCTACCTTCTTGATGAGTATAACAATGAACATGTGCTTCTGATGGCATCTCGCATGAGCGACAGCGGTAGCCCTGCCAAAAATTTCACAAATCAATGTCTGAAATCTTTTATTAGTTGAATGAACATCCATACGAGATTATATACCTGATCAAACAAATGGTCCCGAAGATATCGACCCAAAGGTTTATCCAAACTTCCATAATATTTTATTCGAAAGAGTTGAGCACGCTCGCATACACTTCCTTTCCACACACACCTTGTCGAAAGAGAGATCAAAATGCTCAGATGATCAGATGGTGAGGGAGGAAACTCTTCATTCAATTCCAAAAGGTGATCGGTGTTATGTTGTTCCAGAGGTACCAACTCAGAACTGTCCAAATTTGAAGGTAATTTATCTCCGCCAGGAGATAAACTGAAGCCTTGTCCTGAAGCTTCAGACTCAAAAAATTGGTTCTGATCTAATTTATTATTTCCTTCCACTTCATCAAGATAACCCAATATTTTAGCAACACAACTTCCACTGGGACCTGTGCAGTCAGTACCTGAACTGGTAACATCCACACTTTTGAGTTCAGATTCGCTATTTGGAGCAATAGAACCTTCAGAAGGAATGGGGTCTGAGTGCTCAAAGTCGTTTGTAGACTGAAATGCTTGTCTGAGATGTTGTTGCGCTTCAGGCTTGTCAGGGGAAGGAGCACTGTATCCAGGTACCGTAGAGATTGACCGGTCAATGCCTGCGGGCTTACCAGGCAGTGCAACTTTTATTGGGGACGTCAAAGGGAGTTGTAGCATAGAAGCACCTTCATCAGCAAGAAATGAGGTCTCTAGTGCTAAGTGATAAGCAGCAAAAACACCATAATGAACTACGTGCTTAACTTTTTTCAGCTCATCCACACTGGCACCCTTGAGGAGAATCTGATGCAAAAATAAACAAAATTGACAGTCAACTGAAAAGCGAGTCTAAGGTAACTACTTAAGTGGATTTGTCTAATAAATGAAGAAGATTAATTAAATTGCACCCCCAATTAGCCAGTAGAGACAATTTTGACAATTCATCTTTATTTTCCAGAAATAAACAATCAGATTCATCCACATGTTAGCAAAAAATTGCTCACTGGACTTGCATTTCCCATTCAAATTTCAATAACAAAAGTCTAACATACTATCTTAGTATATTTAGATCACATAGTTGCTATGATTTTTACTCTAAACAAAAATATAAAAATAATCCAAATATTGCATTATTGTGAACACTCGTAATTTCAATATTTTAAAAAGGTATGTTCGATATAATTTACCGAGAGTACTAAAAGAAAGCGTTGTTTTTGTGTGGCACACTAAGAATTCGGGTGTCCACGAAACTTGCCATAGATAAACTCAGAAAGATGTTTTCCCGTTTCAGATATTGCTCTATTGTCTAATACTCAAAAGAAGCTGGGTTTGTAATCCAGTAAAGTCTCTTAGACTTACAGTACATCCCAATGGACGAGGGCAACCTTCAAAAAACATCAGCGTCTTCGTTAACTTTTTTCCGCCTTGGCCAGCAGTGCCAGTATCTTCCAGAAACTTCTCCACATGAAACGAGTCACAATATCCTAGTTTTGGAGCAGAAAGATTGTCAATTGATTGAACTATTTGTGCACCAGTGCAGCGAGCTATACGCTCTAAAAGTGGTCTCTTAATGTTTAGAACCAGAGATATGTTCTTTTCAAGAAGATATTCTTGTGCATGTCTAGAAACTGATTTTTCCACCAAAAGAATATTTGGGTGATGTGCATCAATTTTTGTAACAGCCATTTTCAAATGGTCCTTTTCCTGCAACAGCAAAAACACCAGGAAACGCTTGTGAGAACAATAGACAATTAATAAAAACCTTGGAAAGTATAGAGTTCAGTTACTTCAGTCACAGTAACAACCTGTTGTAGTAATGTATCAAAACTCGATAAGTGGTTAGCAACCCGTTGGTACTCCAGTGCACCACCAAGCAGTAGCAGTCGTGCTTTATCAACTTTTGTAGCCATTCGTCGATGTGCTATATTTTTCTTGCAAACAACACCTTTAGCCACCGTACTAGTGAGAAAACAGTGAGAATCTCATCAGAATTGTGAAATACTATACGGCACCAAAAGAGCACACATGAAATGAGGAATGCATGATCTAGACCATCTTGTGACAGGACTTGGATCTTAACCATCTACATCCTCAATCTCGAATTCAAAATAAAAAGTTTCCGGTCCTTTAACGTTAAATATGCTAAAAGAATGCGGGCCACCAAATTAAAACAATTTACTGCAAGCAATCTGGCAGCATAGAAGTAAATGATAGTGCCACTTTTAAGTTTAATGTAGAAAGTCTAATACAAACTGGATCAACTATAACCATTAACCACTATCAATCATTCACATTAAAAAACAATGTCCTTAGTGTGAAAACAGTAATGACAATCAAACAAAGAAATACTCTAAATTTCTGGAGTGACAGAGCAAACTGATACGTTTCCACTTCTACATCATGTTTAGTTATATAGGTCGAACCATGTTTTCAATTTAAAAATGAATAGATGTGCAATGTAAAATAAATATACCTCTCATTTCGACGCCCACAAGGTATGCACTTAACTTTAACATATCCACCAGGATCCATTCCCCCACCCCTGCTTGTGTCTGGCTTTAGAAGAGTAGCAGCTTCCCAGGACAATGTCGTAATGATATCCAACCAATTTGCATGCTCACTGGCAGGCAGGTTCTCAGCATTCAAAAGTTGAGTTATCAGAGCTCTGAAATGCCCGTCAACAACTCCTTTCATGGCATTCCGGTGTTCCTCGTTTGATCTATCCCTACTTCGACACTCCCCAAAGGAAAAGCTGCTAGAGCGTAGATAACCCCACTCTCCTGTGGCATCTTCGCCATCATCATCATCGTCGTCAGATATAAGGGCTTCCTTCTCATCCTCATCATCTTCAGGCTCTGGTGGCAGCCAGATAAGAACGTTGTTTTCGTAATCCATAGCTTCAACATCCGCACCATGCAGCTCATTTAAAGGAGGTGATGAAGATTGAACATGATTCTCCAGTAGATGTGTTTCTTCACCAAGCGTTGTTGCATAGTCAAATCTTTGTGTGTCAATGTTTTCAGGCAAATTACAAGTTGGGTGTGTATTTTCCTCATTAGAGTGTACTTCATGTGGATCATAGATGTGATCAATCTGACAATAGTTGATAGGACCGTAGCCCATGTCAGAAGGACTTGGTGGAGTGGCCTCAGAATGTGATCTGCATACAGAGTATTCGTCCTCCTCTTCATCACTCCTGGAGGAGTTATTACAGTAGAGGAATTCAGAAAAGGGAATGGGACTGTCAGTGTTCGAGCATTAACCTCTCGATATTATTATTTCTTTGAGATGCTCAAAATTTAACAACGACATCATAGAAAATGCTAGACCAGAAAATCGTAAAAGATATTTTGGAAAAGTAACAGTATATATTTCATCCTCACATGCGAAAAAATGAAGATAACTTTCATAAAATACCTGCTGCAAGATTCAAACTGCTCACTCAAAGCCTCCCTTGCATCAAGGCAATCAACTTTTCTGGGGCTCCTTATATGTTCTTTCTCTCCCGACACCGAATCCATCTCTTCGGACTGACAAGGGCTCTTAGAAACGTGCTGGAAAGGCCCTGTAGAACATCGAGATGAACCAGCACTACTGCAACTAGATTGAGGAGTGCTCACCAAACTCGCCGACGAGGGAGATGGACCGAGTCCAGAACTTGATGCAAACATCACATTATCACGAGTATCTGAATGTTGCTTGAAGCAGTAATTACAAACCCTAATCTTATCCCCATCCCCACTCCCATTCTTTGGCTCGTCAGAAAGAGCTGAGATAGTGTTTGTGGTGCACCTAGAACAGAAAACCCGCCCACACAGCCGACAATGGTGCTTGCGGTTGAAAACATTGAAGTGCGAATCGCACTCGTAACAAACTATGCAGCTCTCATCTGGCATCCAGAAATCTCTTGACATGTTTGCAGGCTTTGCCCTGCTTGGAATCCATGATTTCACTAAGTCAATAATCTCGGACAATTTTTTACTATCGGCACTGCCCATGAACGCATATAAATATCAATGCTCATGGTTACGGATCAATCATCACCCCCACCCTGCCTGACTAGCTACAGAATTTCCTAAAACATCATAAAGGGGCAAAATGAAGAAAAAAATCTATAACGAAATAAAAGGACGTAACAGAAAATCTTACACACTGAATCCAAATTAAGAATCACATAAAATCAACAAAATCGACGAATTAGCTACATACGGAAACATTTACACCGAACCAATAAAGTAGAACAGAATCAAACCACTGAAACTATCAAAATTGGAAAACCAACAAGCTAAATGATTTTTAGCGGCAACAAGCAATAAATGCAAGTGGACCAAAAAATAAGAGAATTAACACTTTCTAACAATTGCAGTTGCCGCTGATTTATGAGGCGACGATAAAGCGAGAGAAATCACAAACCAACGCAAACAATTTCATTCATAGGAAAATGCACAACAATTAAAAAAAAACAAAATCCACAAAACAAATCGAAGTACCTTTGTTGCGAAACCTAACGGAACTGTATTGAACTAAATCAAGTACGCCGCAACTCAATCCAGCCAAACTCTTCACCTAAATTGAAAAAAAAAAACTGAAACACAGATTATTGTGCTTGAAAAAAAAAAATGCGAGAAACTGAATGAAGAATTTTTGTGGTCCAGTGGAAGATCAAAAAACAGAAAAAGGGGAAAAGAGAAAAAATGAAGAGAAGTTTGGGCTGAGAAATTTGGCGGGGTGTGTGCGCCTGAAAGAAGGTAAGTGCGAGGGTCACGAAAATGGTATGAGTGCTGCTATTGAGACAGCTGAAAGGGAAAGTGACGAATACTTTAATTAATTTATCGAATTTATTTGTTTTTTGTTTTTTGTTTTTTATTTCTTTTTTACCTCCACATAGAATTTCAAATATAAGTAACTTACCAAAATTTGGAAAAGAAAAAAAGAAAAGATATTCAATTTTTATAGGAAGTTTTATTTTACACTTAAACTTCTATAAATTAATACAGTATAAACTAATAAATTTGTATTAATAAAATAAATTATTGGACTAAAATTTTAGTATTTTTTAATCAGGTAATTTAAGCGAGGTTATTAATTTAATATTCTCCGGCACCAAACTAAAAACATAAAAATGCAGAATGTAACTGTCATCTTAAATTAGAGTACTAAATGATTTTATGATTCCTAAGATTCCGAAGTATAACGGAGTGATTGTAACTGAGCCTTAAATGAAACATTAAATTTATTAATTATGAGTAGTTAGTTGATAAATAATTAATGAGAGGGTAAATTAGGAATTTCTTAAATTTTTTTGCTATAATATATGTATGGTTTGTTGATAACGTCATGTAATATGGGTTTGTCCGCCTTTTGCATTTCACTTTCTTGCTTGTACTACTTTTTTATAATATTATTAAAGTTTTGTAGCACCTTTAAAATACTATAAAATGAGTAATTATTAAAAAAAATCTATAAAAAAATCAATAAATAACTGATACGTGGCAGATTTTGGAATCTTTCTGGTACGTTCATTGATTGGTACAAATTACAAACATCCGTTCTTGAATTTGCTATTGACATCAAAGAAAATATCAGTCATGCAAGTTGCAATTCATAACTTAAATAAAAAGATATTAAATTGGGGCAAACTATAAGATAAAAGTCAAACTACGGATAAAATTCTTATATTTGAATAACTACCATCACCGTTCAACTGTCTTACATGTTTATCCTCATAATGTCAAATTCAACATAATCTTTTAAATATCCGTTTTGCGTAATTATACAGTTGTTGATGCCCCTCAATCTGATATTTTACGAGTCAATAAACACATCTTATGACAATCCAGTTTTAAAATACAGAACTCGAATGAAATAAAACGGGTACAAATTAATGAATATTGCACATAATCTAGAATATGGTTATAATTATCGAAAAATGAGAAAAAATTTCATATTTGACCTTACCCCAAGAGTCGACCGTAATTTACAAAAAAAAAAAACCAATTACTAAAAACAAGTTCTCAAAAACCAAAAAAGAATAATAATAATAATAATTATTATTATTATTATTATAAGCCCTGTTGTTTTGACTTCTACAATAGAAGAACTGCCAAGGTTAGGAAAATAAAATTAATAATTATATATATTGTGTAATATTTTTAGTCGATAAAAGAAAATATCATACAAGGTGACTAATAAATCAGAATAACTAAATCAATCTATCCATTGAAGCAACTAAATACATGGAACTTGAAAGAAAGCAGGCCCTACGTTTTCCTTAAAGAAGATGAGAACCCCATGCAGACAAACTAATCATGTTCATTAAATAATAGCAAACAAACTTTGCTTGAAAACAACACTTTAACCAACTATATTACACAATACAATAATGCCGTAATCCCGAATCGCAGTTACGAAAGATAATCCTAATCAATCATATCAATTATCAACATTCCCAAACAAGACCTACGAAAGTCAAAACGAGGCCTAAGCCGCCTAAAATTATAATCATATTTTCATGTTCGCGTTGATAAAGTCGTCACTATTAGAACAAACCAATTATATAAAAACCTTATATACAGCTGTATGAATCCATATCCACCATATTCACATCAACCAAATAAAAGCAGCAGAAATATACACAATCCACGCAGAATAAATTTAAGTTCGGAAGAGCATTTTATCAAAGGACATGTATAAATTATTCATAGGCTTAAATAAAAAGAAACCTTGTATGGAACTAGCACCGTAATTTGGAGTGAAGTTCTCTAAGAGCAGCATATAATGGTTCAGCAGCTTTTGGTCTATCTACATTTCCCAGGAGTATATCAGCCGTTGTGAGATATGGATCGCCGTAAAAACGAAGATTCGTATCCATTCTTGTGGCGACAATGTTTCCTTCTAACGAGACACCAACAAATGCACCTGTGACATTCATATCGAAAATATACATAACACTGCTAAAAGAACATTTACGACAGTTCTTATTCCTTATTGATCATTTTATTGATAACTCATCTTACATCAAAATCAATATTTATAGCACTAGACAAATTTAATCAAGTCAATTTTGTGACTATTTACGTGGGAGTATAATAATCACTTCGAGTCAAATTTAATCAAGATGTGAATATATACTTTAAATTTTCACTTCTTCAACTTTCTAAAACTCCTTGTCGAGTTAAACTAGATAATCTTCGGAACGCTGGAGTATACTAATGGCTTTCAAATATGCATTCTATTTTGAGAAATCTAACATAAAAGAAATTAGGGCAAATTACGGCCACCCCCTGAGGTATGCTCAAATAACAAAAAAAAAACCTCATGTTTGGGTAATTACAACCACCCCCTCAACCATGTATTGTCTTACACGTCCACCTTTATGGTGTCAAACTTACCTACTGAAGGAGAGGTTTTTTCGTAAGACAATACATAGTTGAAGGGGTGGTTGTCATTATCCAAACATGAGGGGCTTTCTCATAATTTGGGCTTACCTCAGGGGGGTGGGGGTGACCGAAATTTGCCCAAAAAATTATTAAGATGTCATCTGTCATACATGTCAAAAAACACGAAAACATCACATCTGCAACACATCCATCCATCTTGTTTATCCTTGATATATATAAAGGCATGTCAAAGCAATAAACATATATCCGTACTAAAATAACAAGTTAGTTTCAGAAGTTTTCCAGATGTTGCTACTGTTAACTTTCTTATTAGCAACCCACAAACTAAAAAGTACCCATATTTCATATTGAAGCTATTTCAAATATGTTAAAAAATATAGTGAAAACATAATACCTTTGCTGCAACTATAGGTGTAGCACATGCCAGAACCTTTCTCTCCAGCTCTCAGATCTGCTTCTACAACTCTCCCAATTGGTCCAGCAGCGACACTGCAACCCGCACCAAGAGAAAAATGCATGCGACTGCAAAATGTTTTCACAGCCCTAGCATCGTGCATCACAATTATGAAATCCATGAGTTCACCTCCAAACTGCAACAATAAGCACAATTAATAAATTATACACAAGGGGAGAAGCAGAAATTGACAAAGTATGTTTTCAATTTAAACTTCCAAGTTCCAAATGAAAACATTATAAGCTGGCAGTAAAATCCATTTAAGATCAACAAAATAAGGAGTCAACATAATCTATACTTATTTTTGACCGTTTCTTGATCAATAGTGTGGAGCACAAGAATCTCACTTATGACTCAAAACTGGCTAGTACAATGCAATAAGATACTGGTTTGCAAGTTACAACCAATTCATGATAAAGGAAATGATTCAATATAAATGCCAAATCTGAAAAATTGTTCCGTACCTGGGCACCCCATCCCAAACCAACGGAAAGTATGGCAGATGGTGCGGACCACGACCCATCTGACCTTCGGGCAACAACCAAGCCAGTCCCCAGTTTGTAAGAAACTAGTGCACCAGCTTTAGCAACTGTCAAGATTGCTAAACCTCTCGCCCCTTTCATAACAGCGGCAGGGATGGACTTCTCAGGGTTTAACCTAGCTACCTGTTCAGTGTACTTCTCTAAATTTCACTTTGTATAACGACAGTAGCTTTTCAGTTAACAAGGATAGATTTTCATCCACGAAGTTAATAATAAGGAAAGCAAAAAAACAACGTTGCAATTGGAATTAAAATAAATTATATGAAAGGGTAAGAAAGGGACCTGGCAAAAGCTTCTCAATGTATTGCACGACTTGTATATTTCATGCTCCAAGGACAAACCGACAGGAAGATTCAACCACCCTCTTGAACAAGTCCAGTCCATAACATCGTGCTTTGCCACCTGTGCAGCATTACTGATGGTATTGATCAACACACCTTGCAGTGGATCAAGCCTATCATAGCACGTGTCACACACCCTCTGTGGATTCCTCTCCCTAAACTTAGCAGGTAACAAACACCTTCCTTTCGAGCAAACCCTACAAAAGATACCTCCACAAAAGCGGCAATGGTGTCTTCCTCGAGTCAGTGCAGTAAAGGGTGCATTGCACTGCATGCAAGATGTCGTAGAACTATCCGGAAGCCACTCTGGAGGTTCGGCTTCCAACACGTCTTTGTAAGCATTATAATTAGAAGCATTTGGCTCAAGAAGTGGTGGAGCACTCGGTATGTAAACTGAAGAGTGCAAGAACGTCTCTCCATTCTTTGCAGATCCAAGAAACGAAACGTTCGAGCTTGGCAATTGGGGAAGATTACTAAGACCTAAATTATCTTTATTGCGCCCAGTCAGAATTGCGAATATGCCACTCATCACGTTTTTCAAGTTCACCTCGGGCGGGCCATTTCTTGGTATAGAGGGGTAATGATCCTCACCAGAGTCATAACCTCCATCCATAATATCGTCCGGATCAGGAAGAAATGGGTATGATATTTTTTTATTCAATTCCTCTGAATCATGGTCCTCTTGCGCAGCCCATGTAGTGTCATCAAAGTCGTCTACATACGTAAATTTGTTGTTCTCCTTTTCCAGATTGGAAAGCGAGGAGTAGGAAACTTTTCCTTCTGATGCTGCCATAAATCATGACCCGCCCGATAAGACAACAAATCGTGCAAGAATAAGGACCTAGATAAAAGAAAAGAGAATAACATATAATACAGTTAACCTCTATAAATTAATGCAGTCGAGACTAGGGAAATTCTATTAATTTAGCGAATTATTAAATTATCAAGTTAATAATTTAACACGTTTTCACCGAGTCAGGACCGAGAGAAACTATTATTTAATCGATTTATCGAGGTTCTACTATATAAGAAAACATACATTTAAAACGTGAAAGGAATGTCTAGAATTCTAATGTAAGCGAAATAAAGAGATATAACTGCAGCAAAGCTAAATAAATATCAATTTACAAGTCCAATTTCTAATACGAAGTCCGTTGTTAAAACAATGGAGACGAGTACATACATCACCAAGCACAACACAGTCATGCTAAAAATAAGCCATCATAAATAAGCCAAAAATGAAATAAAAAATTAACTACGAACAAGCCTTATAACTCAATGATTAATTAAAGCAAATTACTTCAATCCATAATTCACAAGGCACGGGAGAAACATGCGATCAAAAGAAACAATATTTCCGTATTCACAGATACTAAATAACTAAAAATTAAACTACAAAATACGAGAATCAGGAACACAGTTGTGATCGAAGGGCGGAGGAGATGAGAAATTCGTACGGATGCAGCAAGGCTGGCGTACTAGGGTTTCCGGAGCTGGGCACGGGAAATCAAAAGGAAAACCAATGAATATATTCGCCAAAAATAAAAAAGGGATTTTGAATTGAATGATATTATCGGGTAATCGAGGAAAATCCGCGACGATTGAATTTTTTTTTTATTTTTTTTTTGTTGGGGGGTTTGCCAATTTATTAGGAGGTTTTCTGATGTATCTGTTTGTGAAGAATATTCGGTGATGACCCAGCTTGAAAGGAAAGGGTCGACACGACATCGTTTCTGGTTACGCTTTTCATTACTAATTATAATTTATAATTCTTTTTTTTTTTCAATTCAATTTATATATGTCTGACTTTGATTTTTCTTTTCTTTTTGGTATTCTTCGTATTTTTAGGGCTCGTTCGGTTACCGCTATAAGGTATAGTAGGGGCTAATAATATGTCCGGTGATAAGATTCACACTTTTTCAAACCAGCTACTAAATTCAAAGTCCGCTATTAAATGCTAATATTTCATTAAATTAGTAGCACCCCTCCCCAAGATTAATTTTATAGGGATGACTAAAAAGGAAAAATATAATTTTATCCTTAAAATCATATTTTATTATTTTATAAATTCATATAATAACTAATTTTAACAAATTTAATAGAAAATCGAATCTAAGAAACTGAACTCCAATACTGGTAACCGAAGGAGCCCTTAGTATATTAATATTGCATTCATCATTTTTCATATTTGTTCTTATTAATGATATATAAATAAATACTATAAAACATTAAAGCACATGATTCAAAATTTCCAAAAATTCAATCCAATACAAACCTCAAGAAGATAAACAACATCAAATTTGGCCAACAAGGGTAATCTTTAAATACATATAACTAAGTCACAAGGGACTACATCACACTAGAGTATCGAGTGAAATCGTGAAATCTTGTCGATGTTACACCCGATGCACTTATGCACACGACACACACATCCACACGGGTGTGCGTAGTGCACCTTTTGGCAACATCGACAATGCGCCTGGTATATCCACCCCTCCACTTGGCACACAACACCCACACACCCACATGGGTGTGTGTGTGGTGTGGTGCACCTTTTCCGCACATTCGACACAGACCGTAAAATCATCAACACCATCATATTCTTAACTTCTTTCCAGGATGGGAATCATCATCGTACGCCTTGTCATCATCGTTTTGGTCGCCACCATTTTCAGCCTTCTTTCTGGCAAGTATTTTGTTAATCTTGTGAAGGTCGTTTGTGATTTTCTGGTCTCTGTTCTGTTTGCGCGTCTTACGCCCATCTTGCATCTTCACACCAAACTGGAACGCAGCTTTAGGCATCGCTTCCTTCTGCTCGTTGTATTTCGCCCATTCCTCTTCCGTCTCAAAGTCCCACCTATGAAGCCTCCCCTTCGCCTATAAAAAAATTAATAAGAAATAAAAAAATAATCACTTACATTGTCAAATAATCGGAGATAGTAGAAAAAGATACTTACCCGTCCACCCATATCCATTTTGGACAAATCACCTTCCTCGTCACTATCAACAACTTCACGGTTATACTCTTGGTAACCAGGGTAGCATTCGGAGTAACTCTCGGATATAAAATTAGGGTCCTTCTCGCGAGAGTCCTTCTCCCTTAGTTGTTGAAGCCGTTGATCGTCCCTCTTAAACACGGATCCTAAGCCTCTGTCTTTCTCTTCTTGAGTCATCAAGTGTGGGTCCAGTATGGCGGTGGGTCCTGCTTGCATATCGTAAGACTGCATATCTGGCTGGAGGTATTGTTCGGGGTAAGCCGGTTGTTCGGCATACTGGTAGTTCTGCCACTCTCCCCCGTAGTTGCCAGCCATTGCTTGTGATTGCATAGCATCGTATTCATTCTGAAGAAGAAAAAGGATGGTATAATTTAACGATGGGGAAAAAAAATCGTCTAAAGCTAAAAGCAAAAATAGGAGATTCACTCACCGCTTGTTGTTGCCAATCATGAGACAACTCAGGCGGTCGAACCGGGCCATAGGCAGGTTCAGCAAAATAGGAATTTTTCTCCTTACGAGGAGATTCTTCCATGTCTTCTGAAATTGGGCTTTGGCTCATATCTTTACTCGGAATAGAGTAGTCTACACCATCACCGACAAAAATATCCTCCTCCACCTGCCTAAAAGCAGTTGATTCTTGATCTTCTTTTGGGTCGGGATGGTTTTTTTTGGTAAGTGGTGGTGGGGGTGGCAGCGGGAGTGGGGGTGGGGGTGGTAGGATTTCCCCTCTATTTTGATTCGTCCGAGAATCAGATTTCACGACTCTCTCATCATCTTCATACACATTAGAAAAGGATAGAATTTTTCCTGTATGATAAATGCCATAACAGAACAGGACTGTTAACATGTATATGAAATGAAAGGCCAAAAAGACTGAGATTGGAAATCACAATAAGTAAACAAACAAAAACACAAACAACATACACAGAAATTGTGAAGGAAATATGAATATATATATATATATATATATATATATATATATATATATATATATATATATATATATATATATATATATATATATATATATATATATATATATATATATATATATATATATATATATATATATATATAAACCCAATATTGTTTCCTCGTTGGTATTCTGCCCTACATCTTTTTTCCAATCAAGCTCTGAATCACCTTTACTAGAGCTTAAGTATTTAAAATGCACGTCAAAATCATGACATTTCAAGATGAAATGTCGATAGCGAACTAGAAGGATCAATTTCCACACTAGAAACATAAGCCTAAAAAACTAGGAATCTGAACCAGTGTTCTGCATATGCATACTAAAAGCACCTTTTATATCTTTGTCTTTCTTTTTCTTTTTCAGAACTTTCCCTGACGACCCAAGGCGGAGATAAGTCATTATTTTAGCAATCCGATCCAAAACTGATCCATCAACGCTTACGGTTACCATTTCCTGGAAAGAAAGGATAAATAACTCTCATACACAACCATCAACAGAGCAAATGCACGAACAGAAATGACATAAGAAAGAAAAATAAGGAAAAAATAAACAACCTCAGGGACAGGACAATCGGCTTTACTTCTGTAGACAGTTGTTGGAATATCATGAGAGAATCCATTTTCCTGCATACATCAATACAGTTACTTTTATCAGAAATAGCTGACATAGCAACTTCTTTGAGAAAGAGAAGGTAAAATATTTAAGCTCTGATGCGCACGCATTGTTTCTATATGAGAATATTAAGCAGAAGTGTGACCAAGTCATTTCACAATGTCTGATGTTATAACAAGTACGCTGAATGATCAAGCACAAAAAAATGAATGACTGAAAAGGAGCTAATAGCACATATCGAGCTTAAAGCATCGCAACGTGTGGTGATCAAGCAGTCAGTTCAACTAAACTCACAATTCACCAATTATAGATGGTTTATGAAGGTCTCGGGATAACTCTTTTCTTCTTTATCTTTAAGAAATAATTATAGAATTTAAAGTGTTGCTAGTGAAAGATAGTTCATCAAATAAGAAATTCAAGAGAAACGTTATATTGTTGAATACAGAACTAGCTACAAATGCTCACACAAAAATTAGACCTCACCATGTTGAATATAAAAGCCATTCGTCCAGGAAGGAACATTTCATTGGTCTTGATTGTAGTTTGTGGCTTGACTATCCACTGATAAACAGACTGTTCAACAACAAAAAAATATTATTTCAGAGAATATATATCATGTAGCAACCCTTAAACTTTTGACAAATGAACTACACACCTTTGCTGATGGAGTACGGAAGGTTACTGGTTGATCATCCTTTTGTCCTCTGTTCACAGAAGAGATGTTCTTAATGCACACGATCAATAACGTAAAAGTACCCAGGCAGTATATTTATATCAAAAAATGGATAAAATAAAATCTCATTGTGTAGTTCACAGAAGAGATGTTCTTAATGCACACGATCAATAACGTAAAAGTACCCAGGCAGTATATTTATATCAAAAAATGGATAAAATAAAATCTCATCCATTGGCATATCTAAAACAATTAAAAAAGAAATAGAACAACGTTCATTAGCAAATTGAGAACAGTTTGCCAGACTTCTATAGAAAGGCTTCCTGTCATACTCATATAAAAAGGTAATTTTTTTTACTACAATACAAAAAATGAATTAAGTTTACTAAGCACGTTTCCAAAGAGAACCAGCAAGCAGAAAAGAAATATAAGATGTGACCAAGCCAAAGTAAGCAGATTCTATAAGACAAATCAACAAGTAGAAAAGAAATCTAAGAATATGTACAGCCAAATTCTGCAAACACGGAATCAAAACAGAGTTACATACTTAGATTTCCCATCAATCTCATCTCCACCATCAGGCTTCTTGTCTATTTCACTTCGCACTTTATTAAGCAAAGCAAAATCCAACCCTTTGACCAAATGTGTATGCTCAACGTCACCTGAGAAACATAATCCACCCATAAGAGAATTTCTTTGGAAAAAAAAAGGATCTGAACTCAAGAATCATTGTTACATGATTATCAACAAAGAATTGAAAACTGGCAAGGGTTTTTCATAATGATGGAAATGAGCACTAAGTTCACTAATAGACCAAAAAAATGAAATAGGAGACTATATTAGAAAATTAATTTTGTTTCAAATGCATTACTGCATATAAGAGTTGCAGGTATAGATAAATGTAATTAGCATATATCCATCATTCAAAATTTTGAAAGAATATAATCTGAACTAAAGCTGCAAGAGTATTTGCTGACCAACCGCACCAGATCCGTGTAATATATAACACCAGGATGATGCATTAAGCAGCTCAAGCCCAATCATGCTTGGCTCTTCTATAGCTTATTGATACTTAGCATATTGAATAAAAAAAAGTTAGCTAATAATTAAGCTCGTAAAAATGATGAAACATGTGCACTAGACTCATCGCGGTAAGATAGAACACTGCATACGTTTAAGATGCTTGTGGACTCAAGTATCTTTTTCACTAACTACCATCCAGAAATCCTGTTCCGAAAAAGTGAGATTCTAGAATTAAATGAGCACCTCAAGTGTGGCAGGCTAAAAGGCAAAACTCATTCAAAAGTAAGATCATCGAAGTGATGAGATAAGCTTATTTTTAAGCTAGTTAAAACAACACAAGCGTGACAGAAGGTCAGTTAAAAAAGAACTCTCATCCCACACACACAGCATACTCCATCGTTCTATATTTAAAAGTTTCAATTCATTTGGAAGAAAAAAAGGGTTGAATTTCATGAAACAGAATCCAGCTTTAGCAGGATGAAGGATAACTAGGCATGAAAGTGTAACAAGCAAAGGTAGCTTAGTAATCTATTGAAAATATTGGTTGCTGTTGACATTGAGAACTAGTTGGAGCAAAGGTAGCTTAGTAATCCATAATCATTTGCGTGATGCGGGATAGCAGTATTGATTTAAACAAAAGAGTAGCACAGTGTTCTTGTCTTCTTGATAGCAATACAATATACTCGCTCAACTATCTTGTTGATAAATAGGATCTTTAGAAATATAATTCAAATAGGTACGCTCTAAACCAAATATAATCAAGAGAGAGACCAACAGGCACACCCATACTAACAACAATAACAAAGAAAACCCCTATCTCCTAGAGTCCAGAAGTCACTCCAAAAACTCAGCATCCATACAAATAAAGCAAAGTTATAACACACACGTTCCCATAAGAGCTGATTTTCAGATGATAATAATAAGTATAACTAGATATTAGCTAATCATCTAAGAACTCATACCTCCAAGATATTTGCTCTTCTCAATAGATAACTTTTGTGCATCAGCAGACCTAGAAAAAAAAATGTAATTAAATGCAGCTACAACAAATATATCATCGAAAAATATCCGTAAGCATGAGTAAATATGGTGTGGCGCAGTATCTCACAAGAGATCAACATTTCCCGGGGGAGCAACAGCATGAAAGGATGTCAACTCATTAATCTCATAGTCAGGATTCTGATCTTCTCTCCTTTCTTTCGCTCGGTCCCTGTATTTCGGAAGTTCGGGCTCCTCCGGCTTCTCCTCTTTACTGAAAAAATTCAATTCACACTATCAAAAAAACTAACACCAGAAAATAAAATTTTCGTAAGCATTTAAAGAACTCAAATTTTCCATAACAGCACACCCAAAAATAAAAACTAGATCAACGAACATCAGCAAGAGAATTTGAAACCAAACCAAAACAAGGTATCAAATCATTGCAGCTGAATTAAAAAAAAAATGAAGCAAATTGACGGCAATACGCACTGGGGGCGGCGAACGGTCTTCTCCTTAGGATTACGCTTCGTCGGCTTCGTCGACTTCGTCGACATCGCTGAACAAGTAGAGCAGATTAACTGATTGGTGGGTTAATTTGATCAATTTCTCGCGGTTAGGGCATTTTTCGAAGGGGAATTTTTGCTACTGTATATCGTTATATAGTACTACGGACGATGAGATTGGCCGTTGGTTTCTTAAATAAATTAAAAAATTGAAATTAGGCTTAGATGGGCTATATATATGTTGCAGACCCAATTCAAACCCTTCCTGCAATTTTTGGCCCGGGAATATGAATTAACTTGCGTTGACTAAGGCCTGTTTGGATTGGGCTTTATTTGAGTTAAGCCCAAGTTGTATAAAAACATCATTAGAAGCAAGCAGGATTAGGGACTTAATTAAATGTCAAACAATGTAGGACGTAAACTTCAGCTTCCTAATGTATCCTCGTTTCGAACATGTTTCGTGTCCGACACCTTATGGGTCATTTTGCTAATTCTAAAAACTTAGAAACATGTTTGAATAACGAATTTCCAAATATTTTTTTGGGACTTACTTTTTACAGTTAAAAAAATGATATTAGTAGTTCAAACCTAATGCTATTTGTATCTGAACGCCCAGACCGGGCGCCAAAACCGGAACCGGACGCCCAAACCGGGTGCGTATTCCCGAACCAGATGCCCAAACCGGTCGTTCACCAGCATTTTCCATGCCCGAACCGTGCGTGAAAAATGTTGATTTGGGCGTTCACCGATCGCAATTTTGGAATAAAAACCAGCCCTACAAATCGATTTGTAGGGTTGTTTTACATGAAATTGCAAACGAAATTTCCTACCCAGTGAATAAAAACATTTAGAAGTTGAAAATACCTCAAATTTTTGATGAATTTGGCCTGTTTTTGCTTCAATTCGAATTTTTGGAAAAAAAAAAATTCTTTTAAATGTTTCGGTTTTGGAGAGTGGGGGTGGGTGGAGAGGGTTTGTAGTAAGAGAAGTGCTTTTGGGGTATGAACTGCAAATAGCAAAGTTCTAACCCCAAAGAGCATGGCACTATATTTTTTTACCGTCATAATTATTTACATGATTTAATGATCAATTGCAAATTGATATTTGATAATAATATATATTTTTAATATATTTGTGCGAAAATGTATATAAAGAACTTGTATATAAATAGAATCTTATATATGTTTATATACCATATTTACTCCTTTATATATATATACAAGTTTCCCCAAGTTCTCGTATTTCTATTTTGGCACATGCCGTTTTCCCGTTCCGTGCTACGTAAACGTCAAGTTAGATCAACATATACGGTGAAAATATAGATCCACTAAACAAGTCAGAGCGTAGTGATAATATTCCTTCAAATTATTCTTCCAAAATTACACAACAGTAAATAATTGAGATAAAATAGTCAGCGGTACAAGTTGAACAAAAAAATATATACAAGTCCAGAGCGAAAGTATTTCTGTTCTTACACCTTTGTCATTTAGAGAGCTCCCTCTAGCTAATTGGAAATAGTGCTTCAAAAAAGAAAATCACTGGATCTCCTTAATCAAAGGCTTACCTCTTTCCTTTTTCTCCACCACTCTCGCATCACTTCTTTTAGCATCTGCATATTCCATGGCTGTACGCTTCTCAATATCGACAATCCTCGCCAACGAAGCCCATGCCTCCAACGGCTGCTCGTGCACCCAACACATCATGAAGTAAACTTTCCGGTCAACCGATTTCAGCTTCCCCTTCAACTCCGCCCTTTTCGACTTTCTCATTTTTTCCGATTTTAGCCCTCGCTCGCCGCTCTGAATCATCTTCTGCAAATCACACAGTAGACAGACCAAAGCATTGCCTTCCAGACTAAGTAAATGAACCACATCATCCATTAGCCTCAACCCAAACTGCAAACCGCCTGCGTGCTTGTACTCTGGGGAGCACGTTTGTTCCAAGCAATGTGATAAAGCTTCCAACACCGTTTCGGTAAGCCGTTCACCTTGGCCCAGAACAGAAGATACAGTCAGCACCGTTATTGATGATTCCACGGGGTCCGTTTTCCAGTCCCCGTTATATAGGCGAAGAGTGAAGCAATAGCTGTAGATGATATCGACGAGGTGGAATGCTAGTAGTGGAGATGGATCGGATGAGACGAGTTTGTTAACTGGATGTAACGGGGTTGTGGGTCCAGCTGGGACTTCATGCAGTTCGTCGCTGTCTGCGTCGTTTTCTGATTCCACGGAATATTCTTTCACGATTCTTTGGATGCGTTGAGTTCCGTCTGAGGTGAGTGATATGTTTTTGGCTGAAGGTTTCAACCACCATGGGTCCCACGGTTCGATTAATTTGCTGAGCTCTCCTGAGATAATGGCCCTCTGGAAATGTTTCTTTTCTTCGGTGGATAAATCGTCAAAATTTAACTGCTCACCTGCATAAAGAGCAAAATATTTTTTTTACTTAGTTGAGCAGAACGATTGGTGTTATCACCGAGAAACTAAAAAGTGATGTATATATAGCGTACCAGAAATAATCTTTTGAATTGTTTCCTCTGACAAAGATGAATCCAGCTCTGAAGAATTGTGGAAGTTAGCAAATAATACGGGGAGATTCTGGGCATTCAAATTTAATTCCATACAGGAGTAGAAAGCTATCTTTATGAGATCAGGCAAGTAATACAAAAATGTAGTTTTCGTGCAAGAAAGAACGAGGCTCGTGACAAATTTCATTTAAATTTATCGCTGAGTTTGGACAACTTTAAGCGTCACGAACAAGAATTTTGTATGTAATTTATTCAAATGCAGTTTAAACCACTTAAAACATCCTGTTACAGAAACGGAATACTGTAACATGGAGAAAAAAAAAAACACCTAAATAATGCTGAGGCAAAAATTGTTTAAGAAACTCATGGTGAAATATAAACAAGTCACGCAAGTTTGGTATAAGTTTTTTCTCTTTTACTAGTTATCCTGAAGATATGAGATCATTCATCAAACACCCTCGTAAGGAACAACTTTTATGCAGCAAATTTGCTCGTGGTATTTTACAGACATAGACAAGTAATCTGGATGAACAGAAAATAGCTTGCTTGCATAATGCATGTAATTTTATGGAGGTAAATTTCTTTACGAGATGAGAAAGTATCGGATAAGCATACCCTCTTCATCCAAGCTATCTATCTCCTCTTGCTCATGGAACCGTTTAAGTATGTCCAGCATTTTCGATTTACTTTCTTCATCAGGTTGTGTTTGTTGCAGTTCTCCCATGACATTGTCTCTCATAAAAGACTCAGTACAACGAAGACTATGAGACTACAAAAAATAGCACATGCCAATATCATTAACAGAAAAAGGCACGGATGAAAATATAAGGCATTAGAAATAATATCAAATTTCACTTATATGCATCCAAATCAAGTATTATATATAGCCATTTCATAGTACAAATCATTTAAAAATTTAGTTATACCTTATAGCAATGCAGAGAACAATAGTGAATATTGCATCGAGGACATCTATACTGGGAAAATTGCTTTTCGCATCTGCAAAGATATAAAAAACTAACCAGTCAATATAAATAGTATTTAAAAACAGTTACAATTCTCTTCTCCCAAGTCCCAACTCTTATTCGTCAAGGCTAACTGAGAAACTAAACTTCCTGATTAAGTTCTTATTGATTAGCATACTGATCTTCGATTTCAAGCAAACTTCTTAGATTAGGTTTGCAATGGCAACTAACTGAACTATCCTTGCAAAAAGAAAAGAATTGCTGAATCAAGTATACTTGACAATTATAATTGTGGTGTTTGTAGGTTATCCGGCATTAACCATACTTCACCTTTCAAATAGGTTTTCCCTCTAACACTTCACTCACTGTCAAGTAAATGTAAATCAAATAAACGACCAATGTATTTGACGCTTAATAAAAAATAGTTATTGGGACACGAAGATAATAAACAAGAAGGAGTTGCTCTACGTTTCCTTAGCTACCATATTATTTTCATGGAGTTATTTTGGGTACAGAACAAAAATGCAAACAACATACTTTCTCTAACTAGTGCTATTCACCAGTGGTACATACATAATCTGTACAGTACGAAAACGATGTAATTGGTGATGCAAATAATTCGGATGCTGGATTCTTTTCTGTAACCACAAGTAAGTGAGTTGTTCATGTTCATAAACAGGGGTGCATAGTTGGTGAACAAAGAAAACGTCGGCAAAACAAGATTATCACTTCACCCCCAACAATCTTGTTCCACACCCGCCTAACATTCATTCGGGAAAGTTGCAATATTATACTATTCGGAACCTTTACAATCCCAGTAGACTATCAAATGGATACTCAAAATCGATTTAACTACGAATATACAAATTCATGATACATAAATAGGTCACTATAGCCAATTCTATAATTTCCAATTTGCTTCAGCACCAGTTAGGGTTGGTTTAAGTATGCAACATCAAAAGCAAATTCTAACTAAATGTAAATAGGTGAAAAATTATAACCAAACCCCATGAACAGTAACAAAAACTAATTAGTATTGTGAAATCTATAAGGCAAGTTAGAAGCATAAATTAATTCGAGAATTGAAATAGCAATTGAGGCGAGCTTACACGCGGCAGATTATGCGGGAGTTGGAGATGAAATCCGAAGATCTGGAAGATGTCTCCGAGGTAAGGATAGTGTCCGACATCTGAAATTTGCTAGGGCTTCAGTTTCGAATATAAGAATTTTCTGCCAGAGACGGGCGGTGGTGGCGCTGGTCACGTGCGGCGGCGGAGCCGATGGGTTATCGGAGACACAACGAGAGCGGGAATGAGAGTGAGAATATGAGAAGATTGTAGAGGAATTCGGAACTCTCTGGTAAAATTACACTTTTGGCCCATTATATTTGGTTCAATTTTACTTTTGGCCCCTCATTTTCCGAAGCGAACAAAGTTCATCTCCAAAGTTCAATTTTAAACACTTTTGGTCCACGCCGTCACAAGCCCGTTAGCAAGTAACGGAAAATAATATTTTGGGACCAAAATTGAATTTTTAAATTTCCTTTGGGGCTGGAAAATAATTAAAATTTTAAAATATACCAATTATAATTAAATTTTAAATAGTAAAAAAAATAAATTAACTAAACGAATTATTTTTATTTATACTTAATTTATTTTAATTATACTATAATTAAATTTTTAATAATAAAAAGAATTAACTAAACGAATTAATTTTAATTATGATTCAAATTATTTTTAATTATACTATTTATAATTAATTTTTTAACAATAAACAAATAAATTAACTAAACAAATTTCATTTATACTTAATATTAATAAAAAAATAATTATATGTAGTATATTTTTAATTTATAATTATTTTCCAGCCCCAACAAAATTTAAAATTTCAATTTTGGCCCCGAAATAGAGTTTTCGTTACTTATAAACGGACATGTAATGACGAGGACCAAGTGTTTAAAATTGAACTTGGAGGTGAATTTTGTTCATTTTAGACAACGGGGACCAAAAGTGGAATCATGCCAAATATAAGGGACCAAAGTGTAATTATCCCGAACTCTGTAGTTTCCTTCTTTTAGTTTTGATTTTAAATTTTAGGGTAAATAGCACTTAACCCGCTTGTGGTTTGGACATTTTGCACATGACCCTCTTATGGTATGAATTTAGGCACATAACTCCCTTGTGGTTTTGACATTTTGCACATGATCCCCTTGTGGTATGAAATTAGGCATATAACCCCCTTGCGGTTTTGAAATTTTGCACATGACCCCCTTATGGTATGAAATTAGCACATAAATCCCTTGAATAGAAAATTAAAAAAGACTAAATTATCCCTATCAAGTCAAAAGTTCTTGTTTTAATTTAAACATAATTATTCTATAAAATGAAAAGATTAATGTACTTTTTTGTAAAATGAGAAATATAATATATTATTGTGTTCTTTTTAATTTTACAGCATAAAAGATATAACATACTAGTTATTGTACGATTGGCAATTTATTAGATTTTAAAAATCAATTTGAAAATCTTTAACATTATCATTAATTGTGATTATTATATTACTATTTTCTATATAATATATTATATTATAGTTGTTATCGAACTTTAACAAAGTCTTTATCTTTTTTATTCTTTTGGAAAAATCTAAAATACATTTCTGTAAAGTTGGAATGAAAATTAAATTTAAAATAAAAAATATATGTGCGGTAAAATGGAAAAAACACAATAATATAATATATTTCTCATTTACAAAAAATACATTAAGCTTTTCATTTTGTAGAATAATTATTTTTAAATTAAAATAAGAAATTTTAACTTGATAGGGGTGATTTAGTCTTTTCAAATTTTCTATTCAAGGGGGTTATATGCTAATTTCGTACCATAAGGGGGTCATGTGCAAAATTTCAAAACCACAAGGGAGTTATGTGCCTAATTTTAAACTATAAGTGGGTCATGTGCAAAATGTCAAAACCACAAGGGGGTTATGTGCCTAAATTCATACCATAAGGGGGTCATGTGCGAAATGTCCAAACCACAAGGGCGTTAAGTGCTATTTACCCTAAATTTTACTATTTTTTTTTAGTTTTTACTTGCATTGAATAACAAAATACGGTTAATAAGTAGGGGGAAAGTCGGATGGATCGGATCGAAATTAGCCTTTTCGGAAAATTTCCAAAAAAAATTCTAAACTACAAAATCAATTCCAATTCCAAAATTTTCGGAATCTAAAAATTCATTCCAATTCCAAAAGGACGGAAAATTTCAGAATTTCGGAAAAAATCAGAAATCAGATAAGCTTTAAAATTTCAAAACTTAGCAGAAATTTTCTAAAATGTTCATAATTTTAAATAAATAAGAACATCCACGTCGATATAAGTAAAACTAATAGCTACTAAATTTCAATTCAAAAAAATAATAAAAATAAGCACATCATAATATCCAATAAAACTTCTAACAACAATTCATTATGTCAAAATCCTAAAACAAAACTTATAGGTGCATTTTTCGGAAAATAAGTATTATATAATATATACTATTTATAGGTGTATTTTTCGGAAAAAAATCGAAATTTTTCGTAATTAATTTCGGAATTATATCGGATCGCAAATTCCAAATTTATTTTATATAATTCCAATTCCAATCCCAAAAAATCGGAAAATTTTGAACATCGGAATTTCGGAAGTCCGAATGAAAAAAATTATTCCAAAATCGGAACTTTTCGGATCGGAACCAACGAAAATTGGAAAATCCGATCCAACTTAACCCCTATATACAACCATCATACACGGGAGAAAACTACCCCAGCATATCTAATTTGAAATTTCTAGACGTGGGCTCAAACTCAAAGTCACATCTTCATCTTATTTCATTCACATTGCCAAAAATAAAGAAATCTCAATTATTGAATGACTTTTGATTGATGATTTCAAACCTAATTAACAAAATTAAGAATTTATATATATATATATTTATTTTATTTTATCTTATCTCTTAAAACCTTTTCAGTTGTGTATCTGACCTGGTAAAATCCCCCAGCTTATTTTTCTGCTGCACCATGTTACGTGGAGGACTGCTGCAACAGGTCGTCCCTTGACCATTATTATAATCATTTTTTTTTCTGGTTTGATTTTTATTAAAATTATTAAAAATAATAAATAAAAAGGTTGGATGGCCAATTATCGATTGGAATAATTAACACGTTTCGTTAATTAGTTTTGTACTATTTCTTAACAATTAATTGTGTACTGTATGTAACCTATGAGTTGTCACAAGAAATTAGATGGATAATTGTACACAATGATATTGATATGACAATATTTGTATATAAATTACATATATTAGTACTGGTCAATACTAATTACTTACATACCAAGTTAAACTTATTATTCAATATTAATCTATACATAGTTGTATTTAAATTTATATAGTGGAAAACATGGAATGTTCGTTAAAACTTAAATCTGTAGTTATTTTTAATTTAATTAATGCATAATATTGTATCTATGCATATATACTTATTTGGGCCCGATTGTCTGTATTATTGTCGACTTGGGTTTGTCTTATTAATTTGGGTCAATTTACATCTGACTATTTAGATTATGGTCAACTTGTCGATATTGACCCCATAAAAGTAAAATTGTTACAGTGTGGGTAAGTTACAAATTTTATTTTACACAAATAATACTAATGATTTATTTGTAGAAATAGATATGAATTAATTATATGGTACTCCTACATTTAAATGATAATAATTGATGACTACATTGGCAAATATTGAGTATTTATTACTCGTAAATATTATAGGTTCATCTACAACTCAACATTACCCACAAAAATACTGGACCTACTTTATGTAATTGTTACTTAATGGATATAAATTACAGGTGAGTCATTACAACTTTAGTAATTAATATTTAAAGCCATTTATTTCCATTTAATTTGTCATAAATTGTTATTGAATTATCCAAATTAGCTGATTTTTGTGTGCCTAAGACAGCTTTCAAACCTATTTACATCTTATTAATTATGAACTCAAATAGAAGACTTGATAGATATATAATAATTATTATAATCAATCTTAATGAAAAAAATAAAATGAAATAGTAATACCCCATGATTGTAATTTGTGACCATGAAGATATTTCCTTAAATTACCCCGTCCTATTTTGTATGTCGATTTTGATTGTTGCGCACATATAAAAAAAATCAATAAAGGCGCATAGCTTATAGCAAAAAACATAAGAAAGCAATAAATATCCTTCTGATTAACTATTTTTCAGTTAATTAAGAGCACGGCATACACAAATTTGATCCATTTTTGCATGTCGAGCTGATTGCGGATTCGTTCGTTAAAGAAAAGAAAAAAAAATTACATTTCAAACACATTTTATTTTTCTCAAAATAGATAAAAAAACATAATTGACAAGAGTTGGGGAAATAATTAATTAATAAAACTCAATAGTTGTACGTTTGTAACAAGCAAAGTTTCCAAAAGATGCAAGCAAAAGGGCATATTCTTTTATTCATCAACTAAATATAAGTTGTGGTTCTCATTTTGCCTCTGCAGATCCAAGCTGTCTCTCTCTCTCTCTCTCTCTCCTCCTATGTGTTTCTCTCTCTAGAAAAAAAAAATTAAGAATCAATCCAAATCTATAAACAACTCCTTCTATACATCACCATAATCATCAAACAGGAAAGAATTTTGCATCTTCTTTTTCTATATATCGTATTCCTTTTTGTTTTTCAAATTCCATTTGGAAACCTCGGTTTCTATATCTCAATTATCACAGGCACGTTTCAGCTTTGTTGTATAATTTAGGATTTTTTTTTTGTTTTTTGGTTTGATTTTACTCGATTTCTTCATCAAATCGTCGTATCTCACAGCTTGGGTAGATCAGCGGCTGTATTTTTGTGATTTACATATCTACAGTTATTGATTTAGGGTTTGGAAATTAGAAAATCGAAGGAAAAAAAAAAGTCAAAATGTTTTCAGAATTCTGATTTTTTTACCCGGGGAATGCTATATCTGAAGCAACCTATGGTGGCGATAACGGGGTTTAGAAGTTTGGATATAGAGTAAACCCGAATTTTGGATTAAAATTGAATGCCAGAGTGATTGATTCCCGAGCCAAGGCTCGGGGATCGTTAAGAAATAATCGAAAGCAATGGCGGATGTGTTGGAAAATGGTCAGCAACAACAGTGTGAAGTTCAGCCTGATTCTCCACTTTCCCTTCCTCCTTTGCCGCCTCCCGAGGGGTTTATGCAGAAATTCAGACTCTACGAGACTCAATCGGTATAATACTTGTGTTAAAAGAATGTCATCTTACCGATATTTCTCTAGATTAACCGACGACATTTAAAGCTTATGTTCGTTAATCGTTATTGTTAGGTTCTTGTTATTTGCTT